GAAACAATAAGCTACTAGGAACAAGTGCATCGCTAGTAGTAACAAGTGCCTTACTAGTAGTAACAAGGACGCTAGTAGAAACAATAATTCATTGGAAACAATAAGCTACTAGGAACAAGTGCATGGCTAGTAGTATCAAGTCCCTTACTAGTAGTAACAAGGACGCTAGTAGAAACAATAAGCTACTAGGAACAAGTGCATCGCTAGTAGTAACAAGTCCCTTACTAGTAGTAACAAGGACGCTAGTAGAAACAATAAGCTAATAGACCGTGGGCCTGGACTGCCCGTGCGCGTTTGCGCTGGAGCAAACCAAACCAGGGTTCCGGGGGTCCGAAGATGGGATTCTCTCCAATCCCTTTTCCAGATCGGCAGATCTTCACTTCATCCACTTCGCGTATCACTCATCGTTTGGGGGGCACAGACCTCTTATAAATAGTTAGTTATATCATGTTATATCATTATATCGCTGCTGCCTTGGTGCAACAAGAGCTACTCAGGGTTTGCCTTTACAGGCTAGAAAGATCAGGTCCACAATGTTCAGAAGGGGTTGTCAGTGTCTAGATCTTTGTCCTTGCAACCCTTGTAACTGTCCACTCGTAGGAACAGTTCTTCTGTGCTTTGCTTCCGGCATGAAAGCAGGGCTCGGCAAGATGTTGTTTTTTCTCTTAAGCCATATGTTTGGCTCAACTGCTGTAAACCCGGCTTGGGTCCTAAGCTGGGTTTACAGCCTTTGAGCCAAACATATAGTCTTGTTTTATCTCAGAATCCTTTTTGGGAAATGGCAACTCTTGCAGGCCAGAGGTGAGAAACTGTGCCGCACGGGCGTCCCAGACGGAGAGGATCGCGTTATGTGGCAGTTCTGGCAGGCTACCAGGTTCCACCCTTCCCAAATCGTATGAAACAGGTTCTTGGTTTCACATTGGGCTGGGGGGTGTTCGAAGGACCCGTGTAGAGGCTGGGAACGTTCATGTTGGAGAGAGGCCTTCATTCTGAACTAGGTGAAATCGAGAAATCGTATGTCAAGAAAATGCGGCCATGCATGGTTTCTTTCGTTCAATTTTATAAAGGGTTGCCCAAGGGCACAAGCAGGGTGGGCAATCGACCAAGTTGCTATTAGAGTTATAGACTGATTATGACTGATTTGTCGATGCGTTGTTTTTCTTCTCGCCGTGGAAGTGGAAGATTGCAAAGGTGCCAATCAGAAGTCAATGCAACAACTTCTTCAGATCTAGGGTTTGCAGCACCAGAGATCACCAGAGTTACCAACTCGTCAGCTGTCCATTTTTCTTCGCTTCTTTTGGCCAACCCATCGGGAAAACACACACACACACACACCTACCTTTTCCTGGCCGACTTGGCTCTGAACAGCGCTGAAAGTCGGCGCTGAAGTCCCAAGTGTCGGCTCCTTTGGAAGGCCGGGGCGTGGACTGGCCGAGGTCATCAGTTTTGGTTTGAAAGGCTACCACACACGCAAGACTTGCCATAATCCCAGACTCTGAATTTGTGGAGTTTGGGGGGGCTTTGTGGAAGGAGGTGGAAGATCTTCGAGGCAGAGGATGTACGACATGTGTGACCTCGAATATGTTTCAATGTGTTCATCCTTTAGTAGAGTCCTTGCTCCTAGTAGCGATGCCCATTGCTCCTAGTTGTGAGGCTCACATTTTGCGCCGATGGCCATGGGCCAACGATCGCTTCCTCGGTCGGCAGGATGCCAACCTTTGGACAGAGGACTGCCACCCAAATCATTGAGTCGGTGGCCAGCAATGCGCCAGGTGCCGCTTTTGGGTTTTTCTTCGTGGTTGGTTTGACCATTTAATTTGCCGTTCACGGTTGTGTGGTTTAACGGTTTACCCATGTTGAACCCGTTTTGCCAAGGAATGTGAACGATTCTTGATCATAACAGTTTGCATGAGTCATTGATGTATTTAGTATATATCGCGTCTTGTGTCACCAGATAGTCACAGATTCAGGGACATCATTGAGACCATGAGACATGACCCCTTGAAAGACTCTTAGACGTCATTGAATCATGAATTGCGAGAATTGGCCGATCAGCACGCTGCACCTGTCGACTTCAATTGGGAGCTGTTCGTTGCAATCCTGCAGGTGAAACGCTGGACTTGACGAAGAATGCCTCTTTCTGCATGTGGCGACCCTAGCTGGTGACAGATATAGAAAATCGCAAGGAGATGCAATCTAACCATATCGAGACTTCAACATCTGCCAACCATACCTTTTGCATGTCTTTCTCGGGTGCTGCTTAGCAACCGGCCGACGCGTTGTCGGACGTTCGGCCACTTTTCGGCCGTTGGGCCGAGGAAATCCTTGGAGAACACGATCGCACTGTCTGAAGCCTTGAAGAAGAACACGGTCATTAAGAGCCTGGGTGTGCCAGCATTGTACGGATGTGCGTTCGGTTCTTTGCCTTCATGTGAGGCACCGTAGTTCTCAGAGCGCGAGAAGTTCTCACCGTAGAAATGGTCCAAGGGTCGGACTTTGGTCATTTGAAGATGACCCGATGTTTGAGGGTTGGACCAGGTCGGTTCTCATGTGTGGAGTGAGGTGTGTGCAGCGCTTGGACTGGATTGGGAACTGCTGAACATTTGCGCACCCCAAAGCGGCTGTTTGGGGGGAAACCCTGTTTTCCAGTTGTTTGGGCTTCCGGGACGTTCCAGGTGCATAGCGTATCTATTCATCAGCGTATCGATTCGTAGGTGTGGCCCGGCCCTGCATCGAGGACTCTCGTGCTGCGGGAGTGCGAGATCACCGATGCTGGAGCTGAGGCGGTTCAGTTGGTGACCGATAATATATAATTAATTCAAGCATATGTTCAGGGACAAATGAGTAGACAACTACCCCCCAGTCGCATTCTCAATTCAGATTGGCTCACTGCCTTGCAGGCGCTGGGTCAGGCCTTGGCTGAAAACCAAACCATTGAGGACCTGGATCTACAGCAGCTAGCATGCAGGAATCCTTTCCTTCGGTGACACCCGCCTTCCCGAGATGTGGCACATTCTTGCTGCTAGTATGCTTAGCATACGAAAGGAGAGCTTAGCATGCTTTTGGGCCGTCACACAGTCTTGCATTTCGCTTTAGTTGTTCTCATTGATATCTTGTTTCAGCAATGGTCCAATCGTCGATTCTTGGCTCCCTCGAGGCAGAATCATTTGTCCAATGCTGGGGTCATCTCACTGGCGAATGGCCTTCGAAGCAACAGGAGTGTGAAGACATTGAACCTCATGACTCAGATGCATGGCATCAATACAACCTTGTAGGAACCTGCGCGTCACGGCACAGTCTTCCAGGTTGGAAGATTCAACCGGGTGGCTTTGCCCTTTTCACCCACCACTTCAGAACACTTCAGATAGGGTTTGCCAAGAGGTTTGGTCCCAGAGGTGTGACGATTAAGCAATCAATTGTATAGGATAGAGCTAACCACTCTCCAACTTAGTCTCCACTTATGAATGCCCTTTTTCATGCCTTCATGCCTGACAGAAAGGTGGCCTTCTGGGAGACGGATGGATCTAAGAGGGCGAAGACCTAATGGATTTCTCGGCCTTCCTGGAACTTTGGGAGCATTCCTGGAACAGACGCCATCAATGTATTGTATTATCATCCTTGTCCTTGTGCAACATTTAGTACTTCTACTATATACCTAGGGATCATCCAAATGTGCAAATTTGATGCATTTCAAAGGCTGGTTCTTTGGATGAACAGAATCATAACTTATCATCGTTCTTGACATTCCTCCCAGCACTGCCCTCGAGCGATCCAGCTCCAACTGATGAGGTTCCGGTCCTTGAGTCTGAGGAATCACAAGCTCAGTGAGGATGCGCTTGAGGGTTTCATCAATATGTTTCAGAGCAACGTCACCCTGACGAAGCTCATGTGGAAGGCCGGCCCTGACGCTTCGTGGGCTGGGCGGTTTTCAGAGTGACCTGCATGCCATGACCCGCGGCCATGCACTTCATCCATTCAATCTCAAGGATCAAAGAGGTGAGTACTGTCCCCGATGAACCCGAGAACATCGGCCTTATCCCACGCGCTGCTTCCTGATCCTCACCATGCACCCTCCTCGACTCCCTCAGGTGGATTCTCGTCGTGCCTGGGAGCTGTCCAAGCTCATCACCCGAAACGTGGAGATCGCCCACCGCGCCCGCACCGGCGGCGATGCCGACAGCTTGGCTCCACGGCCAGCGCCCACGCCCGTGCCGGCACCAGTGAAGGCGGTGAAAACAGTGACGGCAGAGGTCGAGAAGGGGTCAGCGTATAAGGCCAGGGAAGACACTTGGGATTGATCTTGGTGGATGGTGGTGACAGATGGAACTGACGTTCGTCATGTTGAAGGAAGTCGTCACAAACCTGAGTGGGACAAGTGTTTTGCACAACAGTTCTCCATTGACGTGTTGCTGAAGCATGTCTTGCAGTCTTGCGACATTTTGTGGGCCAGACGCTAGCTATGATAATTTCATACTGGTTTTGTACGTTAAGCTCCTACAATGCCAGTAAAGTTGATGCCACTACTGAAGGCAAGAGCTCCGGGACCATTCCGTGGGAATTGCTCTCCGGAACTCACAGAGGGAATGGCACTATATAAAGGATATTAACGGATTGCATGTTCTAAAACAGTGGATAACTCCAAAACCTTTTTGCAACAGTTGAGCCGCTTCAAAAGGCTGCGTTGTCAGGGTGCAGGGTCCAGCCATATTTCTGTTGTTGTTTTTTCCTGGCCAGGCGGAGCAACCGAAGGCGGCGCCAGGCAGAAAAATAGAGCCGACCCAGCAAAATAGAAAAAAGTATCTACTACCTGCTGACATTTGTCTACTAGCATGTAGTATGCATGTACTATATGTTTATTCTTCTATCAAAAATGCACCTATACGTTCCTAGCTACTGGTATCTACTGGGCCGTCCACGGGACCAACAAGACTAAGGTGGACACAGATATGCAGATAAAAGGTGTATAAATTCGTCTCCAGGCCCCTTGTCCTCGGGTTGGCTGCACTTTGGCCCTTTGAATGATGGAACAAGCCGAAGTCTTGGGGCCATGTAGATCAGGAAAGGCATGCTGTTTTGTGTTTGCTTAGGACTTGGAATAGCCTAACAGACTAACACCATTCCTTCAATTCTCATGAACTTCCAGATCTTTGCCATCGCTTCAGGCGCCTCCCCTCCTGTGGCACCAGTGGCCCCGGTGACATCGCCATGTCCAAGTGCAGGCACCGAGACTTTGGAGCGTTGAAGTGTGCAGAGTGGAGGTTCACTGCTATGGGTGTCAGGCTTGATGTCCGTTCGAGGGCAAGGAGGGCGAGATAGGGCGAGGGTCCAAATTCTATTTGTCTATTGGTTCATATTCCATTTGCTGAACCCTACGGGTTATTTTATTGATCTACTGCTACTGATTTGGCACAAGATGTGCAAGAATCCTGAATTTGTTGAATGAAACATGCCGACCAAGTGATACAGGACCTTTGGACCTGCAGCGATGCAGATGCCAACCAGTTGCCGCTGGAAGCGGTCGCAGCCCGGCACCGTCGCGAGGTGATTTCCGTCAGCTGCCTGATGCAGCTTGGGCCACGATCCACCAGGGCTTTCAGTGAGATCACCGTGGAGGTCCATCAGCGAAGCTGGTGGATCCAAGGGTCAAGATGAGATGGGTCTGCTCGCTGCTCATGTTGCCCCAGACTTTTCGATTTGGATGGGTTTCATATGTTGTAGCTTTACTTCGGAAATCCGGAGGGGCTACACTGGGTCCGCTTTTGGCTTTTGCATGCGGCAGGCATTTGAAGGTTGGAAACGTCGGCATGTCATTGTTTGAACAATAGCATCGCGGGATTGAAAGCTATCCATGCTGGTGGCTTGGCACCAAGTACTCAGGTTCTGCCTTCAACCGTTCAACCATTTGTTCTGTTCTGTTGAGCGCCTTCAAGTTCTGCAGAACGTGCTTGCTATTGCGCGGTGCGCGGGTCTCTCCACACAGGGTGGGGATTTGCGGCGCAAGGCGGCGCAATCATGTGCAACGGGCAGAATCACTTAGTGGGAGAGTTGTGGCCGTGAACCAAGGCCTTTCTCTTGAGATTGAATTGATTGTGGAGAAATGATATAAATTCACTTTGAAGACCTTCGCTTGAAAAAAGGCTTCGGCAGATCAGAAGCAGATTGAGAGTTGAAGCTGACTGGCTGTTCACCAATTGCTGATCACCGTGAAACAGATGTGGTTTGTTTCAGACAGCCATAACCGCTTGGTTGAAGCAGTGGGGCCCAATTTCTGATTGGAGGTGTAGCAAAACCAGATGGCCAAGCGAACTCCTAGCTTTGGAGGTTCCCGCAACGTCCACGATGATCGACTAAATCAACATCTTCGAACTTCAAAGAGATTTAGGTTGCCAGCGTCCGCGAAGTTCCAAAAATGGATCCGAAGCGGTATAAATGGATCGATCGCTCTCACCACATGGATCAGAAGTTTATCTATCGAATTTTATTCGGTCCGTCGCGTCCATGCGACTCACTGCGTCGACGTCCGCGTGAGCGGTCCGTTTGAGGTGAAGAGCCTGGCCACCGCCCTGCTCTCCCACGGTTCCAAGGCCGCTGTCTTGGCCTTTTCTTTTCGATACCTGTTGACCTGGTGAGATCTGGTTGTTTGGGACAGAAATCCAACATTTCAGCCTATGTCGTTGCACATCATTTTACTATTGTCCAGGCCAGCTTCCCATTCATCAGTGACATGCGCCAAGCGTGCCCGATTGATTTCAGGTCGGCCTGGCGGGCTATCAGCGCTGCCTGTCGGAGATCCTCTTGAAGGTTGGAGAGCAGTGGTGGCGACGTGCGAAGAAGGGGATCCCAACGATTTTGGAGGTGGAAGTTTCGCAGCATGCGCCATAGCCTGCGACCCTGTTCTTCTAGCAGCATGTTTTGATATATATGTGACTCTTCCAAGAAAAACATGCTGTTACTACTACGCCACCATTTGAGAAATCGTCGATAGCAGCAGCAGGGAGATTGAACATACATGAACATACCAAGAATCTGATTACTGTAATGTTAAATTCCCGTACAACGGCCATGTCACGTCACGTAATTCGGCAGCTTTTGCTTTGGAAATTGTTGCAATTGCACAACCCTGAGAGAGCTTCTTCCTTCTCATTACGATCAGAATTCTCACAGTAACTCTCACATAAAGAGTAAGAGATGTGAGAGAGATAGAGAGAGAGAAAGAAGGAACGCCAAACGCGAAAGCATTTTGCATCATTTTGCACAAAGTCTCAAGAGAACATAGACCCTTGGAGCGCTTGGAGGTGGTTCTCAGGCTGATGGGCGGCCATACATACTGCTAGGTCTGGCTAGCTAGTTTCGAGCCTATATGCTTGTTTGTTGGAGCAAGAGGTACCAATCATGGCCATGTGTTTGATTCCTCCAGAAAGTAGCGAAGTAGGATTTTGGTCAGGTACCCCGGTATCCCCAATGGATATTTGAGTGTAGCAATTGCATGATACAATTCACCGTTTGCTAGATCAATGATGAATGTTCTGGAACACGTTGGAATCCATTCTGCAAGGTGGAGGGGGATGGTCCGACATGGTATACTGAAGTGATCTCAATTTTCCCAGCGGTTCACTGTCCCAGCTCACGAACTCCGGCGATGCGCTTCGCAGCTAAGATCCGCAGGTCTTGGCAGAGATCCAAGCAGCCCGCTGCGCCACCAGCAACGCCAGGCTGTGGGGGCTGCAGGTGTGTGGCCGTTGGTGTGTTTGGTTTCCTGGCACTGGTCAAAAGTCCTCGGAATCGACTGAACCGCGGCTGCACGCACCGTACGATTCCGTGCGATCAGCCATGTTTGAAAGCCAAGTGCACTAGTTTCTTGCCATTTCATTGCAGTCCCTTCCGAATAAAGCCACATCTTTCCAATTAGAGGCTTTTGTTGAGCTACGCTTGCAGGACATAGTTGGATCTAGAACTTGTGTTAATTAACTTGTGCTCAATGGACCACTGTAGATGTCCTGAATCGCATGTGTGGAGCAAACTGAGTTTTTATGGCTACTACCTCCTTGACATATTATTTGGAGGGGTGGGGTATGTTCGCCAAATAGTTATTTTCAAATAATTTTGTTGAGACGTTAGTTGTTGAGTATGAGATGAGGTGGGTCTATAAGTTTGTTCAAATAATATATTGAGAACAGCTGGGTATACCCAGAAATAGTTTACTAAGAACACCTAGACCACCCCCAAATATTGTACTGAACATCTACATCTTGGATGACTGATGGAGGTTGTAAAAAAAGTTGCAAATTCAGGCCAACATTTTTGGGTTGCACTCTAATATGTTTAACATATGTTTCCAATAGATTGTCAAGTTGTTTTTTTTACATCATGTGTACTGAGCAACAAATAACTATTTGAAAACACACACACACACTGATGGGAGCCAAATAATAAACCAGAAATGACCCTGACCACCTAAGAATAGTTAATTGATTATTTGGAGGTGTGGGAGTAGGGGGTACCCTGAAGGCAGTACACATAGTTTTTTCATCCAGGCCGTCCTTCAAGAAATCCAAAGGTGGAATGGAATTTGCTGAAATCGATGCCACATGTTTCCTGTGCTCTTCGATCCAACATTCCCCTGCATCCCATGTATATAATTAATCCCTTTCCCTTTTTCATACTCTTTCATGGTCTTTCTGGCACGTTCCCCTTCCTTTCTGAACGTGCCAGCTCGACGGTCTCGCAACTCATCGTCCACCACTCACGGGACACTCCGGAGAAGCAGTGGGACGTCGCTGGCCCCAGTGGGCGAAGGCTTGCCGGAAAAGCGCATGAGCAACACGAGGTGTGAAGGAAGCAAACCTCCACCATCCTCCACCACTTATACATACTTATACTGTATAGTAAAACCATGTGAAACCTCCTTTTACAATATTTTTTGCTACGTCAGCCGAGGGCTGTGAATCACGGAAACAAAATGGATTCTTTTTTGATACCCAACGAGGTTCTAGATCATTTTTGCCTCAAGACAGCAAGCAAACATGATCTGTATTTTGTGACCGATCACCGGCTCCGGTTTTTCGCGGTTTTAGGGAGAACTCGAGTCCGGTTGAAATGACCGTGCTTTTGGAGTTGAACACATGCCGATCCATGGCCGAAACCATGAAATGAAATACGGTTCATCCACTGGTTCACGCGTGGTGTTTTTGTTGGTCTTTGTTAACTCCGAACCGGCACGCCCAGGGGTTGGCTCGAACGGCCAGTCGGGTTCTGCCGGTGGGCATACGTAAGAGGTGCCCTGTCGGTAGAGATGGTGGATCCAGGGCAGATGGCACTTGCAGAGCGTTGGACAACTTCACGGGCCGTTCTTCCTGGGATGCCTGGGAATAGTGACATCATAGCATTAATATGCATTAATATGCGTCAATCATACAGTTAGAAGCAGATAAAAGCAAATCGCCACATGTTTAACTTCAGATTCTGCAAGGTTGTTAGATTCGGGACTTTGGTGGCTTGCTCTCGCCCATTTTCGCCATGGCCATCGTCCAGCCGGAGCCTCTCCTGCCACCAGTGATCACAGAGGAGTTCTCCAGCGCTGTGGTGCACGACTTGATTCAACATGGCTTTTGCAAGCTCCGCGTGCCTGAGTTGGAACAGCCAGCGCTGGTGACCCAGCTTGCAGTCAGGGGAGCCTTTCATGTTTCGTGTTTTTGGGGGGTTGTAAGTGATGTTGGCCATTTTGGATTGGTGGCATGGCATGTCACAGCTCAAGCGGCCGATAGATTATATCAGAGGCAAACGCCCGGATGGGTAGTGCACAGAAAGAGTTTTGCAAACAACAATTCTACTAACATCGTGAAAGGTCCAGGACATTCATGGAACCCGGGGCTATTCGTGGACGTTTCGTGGAATGGTGGCCAGTAAGGAAACTGACTGCAACCAAAACCCACAAACCTTCACAGAACTTCGTGGAAGGTATTTTTGATGCACTAACTTCGTCTAAGCCATTTTTGCTGACCCCGGCCCTTTCTCCACACACCCTCCATAAAGCCTTCATTATAGCCAAGATCAAAGTGTCCTTCCAGACTCCCTGAGTATTTGAAGTAAATACACCTGTGGGGTCATGCAGATTCCGTTGGAACCTCACGTCAATGTTTCAGGTCGTGGAGACGGCGCATCAGCTCACCGCAGCCACGTTGCCTCACTTGGAGCTTGAGGAGGGTGTTCTAGGGCGACGCTCCAAAAGCAAGGCAACAGCGAACGGCCCAAACGGACGACCGGACCACGAACGTCACATGCGAGAAGAGTCGTTGCGGTTGCGGGTGGACGGTGAAATATGGAGCTGATGGGAAGACTGCTATTCATCCTCGAACTAGTGGTTTCCAGGATCCACTTTGGTCGTCAGAGGTGGATGGAGGTGGTAGGTAAGTATGTTGTGCGGTGTGCGCTTATGAACTCTTCTCAATCTGCTTGAGGCATGACCCTTCAATCCCTCTAAGCTGCCAACAAGGCGGCTGTTCAACACATCCACTCCTTCCTCACTCCTAGCCCCTTTCCCGGTTTTTGTTGGTTGAGTCTGGAGAATGCAAGTTCCCCGACCAGCGAACTCATCATGAATTAAGACTCGTTGACTCTTCCGAGGTGAACGCCCCGCGTGAACAGCCAGACAAGAAGGGAACGGCAAACTGGCATGGAACCTGAGAATAGACCCACTAATAGACCCGTGGAAGACAATTTTCTATTTTAATCTGCAGGGGAGTACTTTCTCATTGTTCTCCTGAGTAGGAACAAGCAAGCTCGAACCTGAAAGTGGACAACACCGACATCTCATTCAACCGATTTTCCCGAAAGTGTTGTCAAAGCAAACAGCCTTCAGATATGCCACAAATATGGTGATGGGATGCGGTGGGATCAGTCTCCATGAACCATGCTGCACCAAAATCATCCGAAAGCCTTACAACAAAGATGAACAATGATATAGACTTGTGGAGTGAACAAAGATGAACAAAGCATCCCGAGTCCAAAACAGACTGGAACTCCTCACCGCCTCACACCCTAACACACCTCCTCAGGTCAGAAACAATCGCTGCTTAGCGTTGTTCACTGCTTAGCTTTCTTCTAGGCCTATTTCTTGGACCGCTTCGTGGAAGAGGCACCTGAGCCTTTGGCCGGTTGCATCCGCCGCATGACCCAGCTGGCCGAGGCCGTCGGTCCAGGCTTTAGCGGCTTGGAAGTAGAAGATCTGGGTCTGAGGGGTGGAGTTCAGGGTCGCAAGACGACCGTGATTGTTCCTCGGTCAACAGATTGGCACTACCAAGCTCGGCCTGGAAGAGAATGAAAGGCGATGATATGATCAGGAATGGGAGCTGCAGCATGTGTGGTTGTTTGAATCCATTGAGGTGTGTCAGAGGGACCGAAAGGGACGTCAGATGATCGATGATGGGATTCTGATGGGATTGGGTGATCCGGACCTGCAGGCCAGCACGCCATCGTTTCTTTTGTTTGGGATTGATTGGCACCTAGCACGCCCTGAATTAGGGCATGGTGTTCTTAATATGTATCAAGCCATGTCAGCTGTTCTGTGTTACACCCGCAGCTCTTCCCAGATTTCACTTTGCTGTGTAACCGTAGCCATCAGCTCGGCCGACAAGGCCGCGAAGTGGGCTTTCAGCCACTGCTGGGTTTGCAGCAGCTTTTGCTGCGAGAGCCACTGCAACGCGGGGAGCGACGTTTGCTGAGCCCTGGTCCGCTCACTGAAGAGGAAGTCGAGCAAGGCTACGTGGAAGCCTGGCTTTTCTGAGTGCTGACATCCCTTTTTCAGCCACGCGTTGGAGATGGGTCGTTCGAAGCCTCCCACCTCTTTTAAACCCACAAACATTGGCTTGAGAATGGCTTGAGATGTTTCCAGCATTGTTCAGCATGCTTTCCAGGAACAGTATCTGACTTTCCTGCAGTCTCGGCGGCTTTGCTTCCTCTACATCGTGCAGGCAGCAGCAGAGAACTACGTCGAGCTCTTCCAGCAGGGTAGCAAGACGCCAACCAAGGTTCGGTTGTGGTAGACCAAAAGGATCGCTTGGGATACCCAATACGTTATACGTTATTAAATATCAGTTTAACATGTTCAACTGTAACTCATTTCTTTATATAGCAACTAAACCATGTTGGTCTTCTTTTCTATCTTAGATGGTGCAGATTACTGTGATTGACAATAGTGAGTGATTGAACATATTGACTGACGGTGACTCAAGAGTTCTTCAGCACGCGCATTTTTGCAGCTGGGAATCCTGAATTGCCTCTGAGGTGGTCTTGGGAAAGGTTACTTGGCAGTGCGATTCAGAGCCTTTTTCTATTTGTACGATTCACATTCCTCTAGGACTCAGCCCCAAGTGCTTTTGAGCCAACTTCTCTGGTTATGCTTGTCGTTCAGGGGAAGAACTCCGAACCGCCCCCCCCACACACACAGATCTGATGATATTAGTTCTTAGTGATGATATTCTGATGATCTGTTCTTTTCTTACGCGAGTCCGTGAGGATAGCCTGGTGATCTTCCGCCACGACCAGTTCTCTTATTCTTACCAAGGCTCTGGTGTCGCCCTGCAGGGCTGGCTGGTGGCCTTGCGAGACCGCTTCGATCTGGAGGGCCTCGAGGGGGATTACAGAGGCCGGTTGTCAGCGGGTGTCAAGAGACCCACCGGTTGAGCGGATGAGCATGTTAGAGCTGGTGCTTTTCTGCCTTGCGTTTAGGATCCACCAGATCTGAGCGACAGGTAGAAAAGGGTAGTTGGAAGATGTCGGGAGGTTTGCGAGGGGGTACAGTATGATGGCCCAAGCAGGGTATGGATATACACAGAAAATCACATATATATATATATATATACAATATATTTATTGTTGTATATAGTGCACATGTAATGGTCTATTTATTGTGTGGGTATCCTGTTAGGGGTTATTAATTTGTGTTGTGCAGCGTTACGAGATGCATTGTATGTCATACTTTATGCACTTTATGCATGTTGAAACCAGCTGACACCCGAAGCCTACATTGCCTACATGTTGTACTCTTTATTTAAGGCTTATGAGAGTTGATCAGTGTGTGGCACGTTCTGAGGTATGGAGGAAGTTTATGGTACACCGATGATTCAAGGTCAAGCCGTTCCTGCTGGAGAGCAAGTGAACATCATGAGCATCGCTCCGATGTTGCCTGGCCGAGTCAATAACCTCAAGGCTCATCATCTCATGTTCTCTGCACAGACTGACACCTTCCTGGAGCTTCCAGCTCTACGATTCGACGTGGCCACATATTATACGGACGATCCAGAGGGCGACCCGAATGCAAGCTCGAAAGCCTACACCAAGCATGCGGGAGTGTTTCCGGATGACGAGATTTTGGGCTTTGATGCTCGCTTCTTTGGCATTCCGGAGAAACAGGCGCATTTGTGGCCACCCTGCTTACGCTTGTGCCTTGAAAAGTGCTACGAAGCTGCGCAACTGCAAGGATATTCCAGAGAGACCTTGCAAGGCCAAAACATGGCTTTGTACAATGCTGACATTGGAAACGAGTTCGATCCATTTATGGGCATCGAAACGGATCCCGACAACTGGGCTCAGGGCAGGTTACTGTCACTGCCGTCCTCAGGGATTCTGTCCTATCATTTGGGATTGAAAGGTCCAAGCTTGTCGATCGACACGGCTTCTCGTCCGACAGACTAGATGCTGCCTGAACCGAACCTGACACATGGACGAAATACCAGATTTTATATTATAGTAATGCAGCTTACAGTTGTATTAGAATTGGTCAGAGACCAGCAAATGATTGGATAGGCTAGACCTAGACCTTAGCTTTGAAGGGCGATGAACAGAGTGTGTGAATCGATGTCAACCTTCCAAGTTGTCCTTGCAACATGAGGCTTGCTCATCCTCTTTAGTCGCGAGCAATCTCCTTTACAACTACCTGCGCAAACGGCCAGATCCGACATTAAAAGAGGCCATTTGTTCTGGTATGCTCAATTGCCTGTCCGCAGGGTCATTTGTAACTTTTGCCTTGCACAGGACGTTTTGGTTTCGTCAAGGCAGTTTCTTTGGTGTGCACTATTTCTTTAATTTTGTGCATGCTGCATCAGCTGAAATATCCACATCATGAAGACATGAAATGTCTCGGGGCCCATGGTTTCGTGGAACTATTGACAATTCACACCGATTATATACTGCAACGACCCATCAACGACCCCCAAAAAACCATAAAAAACCTTCAGAACCCAAGAAAGCCTAATTATATCTACCGCAAAACGGTCGAAACCCTTGGGGTTTTACTGCCTGAGGTGGGTCTCTCTCAAGCCGGCATGTTGGGCCGCACCGGGCGCTGCAAGTCCTTCGACAACTCGGCCAACGGCTACGCCCGAGGGGAGGCGGTGATTGGAAGCGTTTGGAAGGTCGGAGAGGACCGGAGCGCGGTCGGGAAGCCACGCGGGCGGATTGGCCGGGGACAGGGGGGCAATGCATTTAGGAGCCATGCCTTGGGGCTGACTGGGATTGGATTCGCATAGGGATGGAACGGCTAAATTCAATGGGAGATCCTGATGAGTAATTAGACCTTGGATATCCTTGGATAGTCTGAGGTTATTGTGGTTGCGGGCGTGTTCTTTCTTGGGGAATGTAAGGCTTGAAGCTATCCTGATTTGGGGACCGCACGTCGTGAGTCTCAGCTGGAGGAGGCTCAAGATGTGGAAAATCGGCAGGCCAACTTCGTTTCGGGCTTTGTCAACCAGGACAGAGTTCCAATCGGTTCCGTGCTGTGATGAACCTCGCGGGAAAAAGCAACTGCACACTGCAGGGCCATCGCATCATCGCACCGCCCACAGGGGGGAAGTGACGGAACGGACCCAGTTCGGAGTTTTGTGGAAGGGAGGTGGCTCGGAGGTGACAACGGCGCAGACAGCAGAGCCCTTCGGTTTGGCTGATCCCCTGCGAGCGCCCAGCGAAGCTACGAAAACAACCAACGCATACCAACGCAACATACAGTTTATGTCTTGCACCTTGCTTTTACCGACTTTTACCTTTGGCTTTATATATTACCTTGAACTCATGGCCTGAACTACCTGTCTTTGCCTACCGCTTCGACCAGGATGGCCGCAGTGCCTCGTTGACCGCGCCCAATGGACCCTCCCAGCAGTTGTGCATCCGAACCTCCCACCGCCTAGCACAGAGCCTCGGGAACTGAGCGCGTGGGTGCCGTCAGAGGAAGAAGAATCATAATTAATGATCATGGAGTTTCGTTGGTGATCTCTGAAGATTTAGGATGCTAACCGTTGAATTGTAATGTTGAAGAATTATGCCAAACCAGAGTCCTTCCACCCCAAAGTTGGATTGAGATGCTTCATGCTTCGATGAGAGGCAGTGAGTCTGTCCAGGATTCTCCCAGCCGAGATTTGGACCACCGAGAACCACGGCACGGGCACCGCTCTGGGAGATCCCATTGAAGTGGGATCAGTGCGTGCATGTGCCATGCTCGGAGTTCAGACGCGGGATGAGTGGTTCGTAATTAGTGTAATAAGATGTAATTAGTATAAATTACTATATAATATATATAATATATTAATATCATTATATATCATTATAATGGTTTCTCTCATTTCTCAATACTTGTTACAATGAAATGCCCCTAAAGCCAGCATGTTTGGCGTATATAGGTCTTTTCGGAGGTAGACTGCTCAAGCCTCAAAGGCGGTGCGAATTCCCACCTGGTCTTTATAGAGGGAAAAGGACCGTCAAGCGTATGTTTAATACAGGATCTAGTCTGATGCAAATTGTCGTAGAGTCCTAAGCGACTTTGGTTTTGAAGTCCCTGTGCCCTGGGTGGTTCCGATCTTCGCGGGTCCCCCTATTTGGGAGTCACCCTATACTTAACACAAAATCAAAATAAATCATTGCTTGTTCCTCACCTGCCTTGTCAGAGCTGTCCTTTCTCCTCCTCTCCCCGCCTCCTCCTCCATAAGTACTAGATGGCAGTGGGGGATCATGGACCTCAACCACGAGCGCCAGATCGCAGTGGGCACCAGCCAGATGGAAAGAATGCCAGAAGAAAGAATGCCTGCAACTATGCCAGCCAAAAATAGAATGCCAGAATATACACCAGATTGAATGCCAGAATATAGCCAGATATATAGAATGTCAGTACGCCAGATAGAATGACAGTATGTACGCCAGCGAGAATACCAGATAGAATGCAAACATACCTGCCAAATAGTGTATACCAGAATAACCGCCAGATAGAATGCCGCAATATGTGCACCACATAGAATGGCATAGTACATGCCAGTATACTCTATACTTGCAAGAGAGACACTTTCGGTGATGCTGTTGCAATTTAACCGTCGGTTATCAGCAGGGGGGTCACTCGAAGTGAAGTGTTTCCTTCTTGTCTTCTTGTTGGGGGGTGGACGTGCTGTTGAACAGGTAGAAGGGATCATGAATTAGCAAGTTAACATGCAAATCCAAACCCAGCCGAACCCACTTCGATTGGAGAAACTACCGCAAGCCCGGCTCAACTTCCATCTTCTCATCTTCGCACATTTTCCCATCTCACTGCCTGATTGAGGCTTCTCACGCGGCAGGGAGGTACCACTGGTGGTGACCACTGGGAAGAGCCACCAGGGACACTCAGAAGCTACAGCAGGGCTCAGTGGCATTACCAAGGTCGTGAACACCCTCAGGCCGCGCGACTTCTTGCACCCGTGGGCCTGCGCGGGGGCTTTTGTCTTGGAAGTGTGTGTGTGTGTGTGCGTGTGCAGGTGGTGGGTGGTCAGTGGGATGAACTTCAGGTGAGTTGGGAGTTTCACAGGTGTTTTGCGTATGCCGTTTGAGTTTATATGTGGGTGGGCCCATATCTGCCGTGCAACTGGGTTGGGCGTCATGCAATTCTGAATCGCTTTCACACTGCCTGGAGCTGTTTGATGTACTGTATACAATTTTTTAGTGAAACACATTGATTTCCGTGAGCCCTATGGCCCAGCTGTGCAGCAACAGCCAGTACAGCCCCAGAAATGTCAGCCAATGCCCACCCTCAGGGCCTCCGTCGCACCGTCGCAGAACCATTTGATGCTCGGTGGGAAAATGTTCGATGCCCAAGCAAAGGTGTAGAGTTGCATGGCCATGCTGGAAGGTGCAATTACTGTACGAATTGATTCTCAGAGGCTGCCAGCTGCCAACTCATGGGCAGCACTGCAGCACCATCATGTTCATCACTTTGTGTTGATGGTGCTGTGCTGGCTGGGCGGGCTGCAATTTGTTACAGACCCGGAACCGCTTCGCAAGCACCTCAAGCACAGCCACCTCATAGCAGAGAGTTCCTCATGTGAAAAGGCATGTTGGAGGCCTTTCCAGGATTCCATGTGGAATGCCTTGTTGGATTTCCTGGAGCTTAGGGGTGTCACCCCAGTTTAGAGCGTCTCCGGCAACAAACCATAGTCTCGCATATTCTCCTGCAACCTGTTTCTATGACTTCAGGAAATTCTTGAACGCCCACATCGACGATGCTGGTTTCGTGGCTCATTTTCCAATTGAGTGCTGCGAGCTGTATGTGGGAGAGAAAGGAGCTCTTGGTGGTTTGAATTCCTTTGGCAACTCGGCCAGAGAATTCAGCTGTGCTGTCTTGGAACACATTAAAATGCTTGTTTTTTGAGGCATGCTCACAAGGTCTCACAAGGGGTGCTCAAATTCATTCGTTGCCAAGATGACAAATCCCCGCAAAGTCCTTCGATCCCCACGCACCTGGCCCCACAAACCTCCAGAAACTCTAAAAGCCTCGATGCAGCCCTAAGGCTTTGGTGGCACCAACTCCCGTGGCGAAATTTGGGCCATGAGCCGCGATGTGCAGCGCCGTCGTGCACAGCAGGCCCTAGGGCGCCAGCGCCAGGCCGAGGCCCAGGGAGCCAAGGCCATCGCAGCAGTGACGGTGCCCTGCGCCAGCTGTGGCGAGCCCATGTGCTTCCGTTGTGGAATGGCCATGTCAGAACAGGTGAAGAACCATCGGTGTGGAGATATTCGGGAAGCTTCGGTTTTAGCCAGAGCCGTTTGGGTCACTTTGAGTCTTGCGAGGGTGAGTTTTGAAGCTCTCAACCAGAGCACAATGCCTTTGTTTCGTTTCTTTTTTTCTGGCACATCTCAGGAAGAGGTGGGATCCTATGACGTATGCAGCAACTGCTACCAAGGCAGCTTTCATTATCAAAGCCTGGTGGACTCCTGAAGGATCCGATTCGGCTCGGCATCCCACGCAGCGCCCGGCTTTTCTGCTGCGGCTTTTTAGGCCGATCGTGGTTTTCTGGGCGGTTTTAGACCGAAGCATCTCGCGCGCCACTGCTTCCAACAAAAGAGACGCTTCCAGTTTTGGATCTCATTGATGATCTTTGGATGGATTGGATGCTGCATGGAACAATTATTATTGGTTTTGATGATCTCACGATCTTGTTACAAAAAGCGCACAGATTGGCTTGATTGCACTCTGCCAGTCTTTCTAGGCATTTCGTTCGCCAATCGAGCATCGACGTCCCATGCCAACATGAGGATTATCAGTAAATAAACTGGGCGAAGTCACGTGGACTCTTGAGACACGAGTCGTGGAAGGCTGGGTGGCGAGAGAGCGACTCGCCATGTGAACGAGAGGAATGTCAGCAATCACCCTTTCTGAGAAGTGGAGATTGGTCGAAACAGAAGCCCCACAAAGGGCCTGGTGAAACCAAGTTGCAGTACTTACATGTAATGTTCATTGCAGCACAAACCCCGAAAGATGTGTTGATACATATTTAGATGACACAAATACACAAATATATATATATACATACATCTATATAGGGTGTAGTAGAGCACTTCTTTAGCAACTCAAGTATCTTGAGTACTTGAAATCACTCGAGTACTCAGCCGGCTAAAATGGACGCCATTGCCTCGGACGCCAATACCTCACCATTCGTTCTCTAAGGAAACCTTGGCGTTGGCCTTTGATGGTGTTCGCAGGGTGGGGCCCCCCAACCGCTGTGTGGCTCTGTGGCTCGTGGCGCGGTGGGGTGAAGGGCAGGGCCTGGAGCAGTGGAAAAAAGGGAAGAGTTGAGGGCCTCATGGCTTCGACAAGTGGAAACATGCTTCCAGGACAACATGCCAAATGTATCAAAATGTATGCTTTCGGCCTTTCAGAAACTCATGGTGCTCAAATGCTTTTGATGATTTTGCTGGCTGGAAATCCGCCCTTGCCAAAACACACAGAGGTAGAAAGAGGACTTGAGATAAGTGCTTGAAAGGCCCTTGCAAGAGTGGCATGCCACCATCACCATTCGCACACGGAAGGTTTTGACTTTACGATCTTGAGTTTGGAGCCTGCATCAATTTGAGGTACTGAGCCACTTCTCAGAGCAAGCTGGAGCAGAGGCTTTTGCGCAGGGATTCCCAAATGCTGGGCCTACCCCGGGTTGGTGGACAAATCCTTTCCCAAGCAACAACACTGGGAGTATTTCGATGCAGTGAGCTTTCAAATGCTTTCGGTGGGGCCTAGGCGGCCTAGCTTCCCTTTTATACAAGGACACTGGGGCCCTGCTGGGCTGGGCCATGACGTGCCAAACATCCGAATCTCAAATGCCTATTGATGCCTATTGTCACCAACGGCTGCAAAGGTTGTGGAATATTGACCTGCATGCATTATGGAGCCTCGTCATAGCATGATAGTAGTGGAGGGTTGAGCGTTTCAAGCGAAACTGACTGATTCAACATGCCCAAGAGCTCTCTGGTGCCACCAGATCCCGCTTGCTTTCCATGAGCGAAGCTTCAAGGCCCCTGGCCTATGCCATGCTACTGCAGGTTCAGGAGGGATTAGGGTCTGCCACAGGTGTCCCAATGGTGGGCTCGTGCATGGCTTTTCTCTTGGGCTTTGGACATAAGACCGGCGGTCTTTAGTAAGTACAAATGCAAGGCCCAAGGCATACCCAACCAAAAATGTGGGCCCCTACTTTTCAGGTTGATCATGTGCCCATGTGCCTTCTTTCCTTCTTTGATGCAGTCGTTTGCGGTTTCCTTTTGTTGGCTTCTGTCTTGAACCACCAGGTCGAATTACCAAGCCATGCCATTGTTGTCCATTTTTTGATACATTACGGCATCTTCAGATCCCAAGCTCGTCGTCTCCGGACGCGTCAGGAGACTCTCAGGACCTTGGGCTCTGAGATTAGTACATCGGCCCGGGGCGCTTGGAACGGGTTTTGAGACTCGGATCTCCATGGGATTCGCACCTTCAAATCAGTCATGGATAACCATGACCAGGGTGAAAAGGGGTGACAAAATGAAGGGACTTGAATCAACTTGAAAGGAATCGAACCTTTGTCAGATTATGACGGACTTGGAATACTCCTTTCGCTTTGGGAAGCTTGTGGCCACAGAATGCGTGTGTGTGAGTGTGTGTGGTTATATAATCTTTCATACGACCAGGTCATTGGATGTATGTTTCTGTTTGTTTGTTTGTATTGTATGATGCGTTTGATCAGAATTTGGATGGAACATCCTGGGTCATGAGAGACGCACCACCCTGCCGCCCCGCACGTCGCTTCGCTGGAAGACCCAGAGCTCGTTGAGGCCATCCGAGCCCTCACAGACTTGATGAGGTGCGTGCACCCGGTGTGATGCTGTGGTTCTCGAATGAATGTCCATGAGAATGGGGGAGAGAACAACAGCCTTCGATCCGCATCCTCATTCAACTTATTAGTATAGAGTTGGTATAAAGATCGATTAGCAACAAGTTCATCAGGCCCAACCACCAGCCACAAAGATTCTTACAAACCTAGCTGTTCCTGTACAGTATATTTCCCCAATCTCCTGTAGATAAGTGCACAATGGACAATGGTGCTCATGATTCCCCATCCTTATTAGATCTTATTAGCTTCTCGGTCCGCCACTCTCTCCAAAAGATCCCCAACATGATCGTCGAGCGCGTGGAATCATGTGACTCCAAGGGGAAACACGTTGGATCCAAGACAGTGTGGTTTCCTTCTCCGGTTAGGATCCCTTCGGCCTTGCAGATGTTTGAGGCGCAGTCTTTTTCGGGCGTTTGTTGTGTGTTGTCGGGCGGAAGACACCGAAGGAGTTGGGTCGAATTGGAGGAAGTGTTCTACTTGGCCTGTCGTGGCCTGGTCAAGTTTTCAAGATGTTTCAAGTCAGGAGGAGCCTGACCTTTCTGTTTGCATCTATGGTTTCCACCCCACCCGGGATCCATCCCAGTTCACCATCCCATGAGTTCGAATGGTGCCTTGGTCCGGATCCTTGTACTCAGTACTGTCCATCCCAGCCCTTTGCCTCGGTCGCAGGTGGATCTCTTGACCCTTGATGAACGCTTGCCATTGCCAGGCTCGGTGACGAATGACAGGTCGGCTCGGTCGTTCAGCGGTAGCCGAGAGAGCGCTGAAGCGAAAACCCAGATGGAAGACGAGTAACGCTGAAGCCACCTCCGACGTAACATCGAGTTCGGAGAAGATGGGGCGAGACGAGCGATGGGGAACCGCTGAACCAAACGATGGTACAACCATGTCTTGACGGCTTTGTACAGTAGGAAAGGCACGATTTCGACATGTGGCTCAGACAGGTCGCGGAGGGCGGCGTCCCTTTTTAAAGGGTGGACGCCGTCCGTCCTCTTTGCAGCTTCATATTGACTTCAAATCTTTTGCAGTTAGAAGCATGAGCAATCCATGGCAGTTGAAGCCGATGTGACTTTAATGCACAATGTGCTTTTTGTATGGCTCACGCGGGGGGTGCCTTCAAACTTGGTTGGAGTGCGAGCAGGGTAGCCGCTAGTAGCCTGTTCAAAGGAGGCACAAGCAGCATTCAAGGAAACAAAGTTCTTTCATAGGTGTGCTTCATCATGCTTCATCCATATTTTGCAGCTACTGTGCCAATTGCCAACCTACAGTGGAGAACAAGACTGAACTCCCGTATCACTGTATCGTTCTCATTGCGTTTCGTGGTGCGTGGAGGAACATGCCTTTTGCGAACCCAGTCTGACAAGATGCACCATTTTTGACTACAACCTAGAAGTGGAAGGTGATAGTTTCACTAGAAAACAGAAAAGGACATGTGTCGGGGGGGTTGCCAGTTCAGTGAGTTGAAGTGCAATGCGGCAATGCTGGTTGTGGTTTTCCAGGCGGAGTTCAACAAACATCTGTGTGGCTTCTCAGCTGGCGGGTGCTGCAGGGGGCCTCAGTCTGTCAGGGGTGGGGTGCAGTGAAGTATTGAGCAGACCCGTCATGCTTGGGATTGGAATCTTCAAGCACGTTCAAACACCAGCTCAATTTGATATGATTGGAGTGACAAAGACAACAAATGATCGGTCGCCTGGAGACTCGGATCGAACTCTTCCAAAGGGTTTTTGCACGGACCTGGTTCTTCTTGTTCAGTTCGTGGATGATTGATCAACCAATGGTGATTATACAATAGGTGTTTGAGTCAAGACTGGTGCGGAAGCTGAGGGAAGATGTCATTGAAAGTGAAGGGGGTTGGAGGGCTGATAGGACATGGGAGGTCTTCATATAGCAGTGTTGGGCAGGGCCCAGGCTTTTGTGACAGAAGAACGGGTATGTCAGACATAATGGCCCAGAGATGAAGGCAGGACAGCGCAGGCTGTACTAGGGCAAGACGTGTGCAACTTGCAGCTAGATCCAACCACAACGTGCCTCGAGTGCTTCGACACAGGTGGCGGCTAGTGAACCACTGCCTGTCACGAGAACTTCCAGACAATCCAGCATGTTGTCTGAACGAGTTGCTGCTCATCATCGGTGTGTTTTGCCAACATGTTTTGTCAAAGTAGCGTGTACACCACTGATTACACATGGCATTTGCAGCGCCATAGGTCATGTAAGGTCAAACAGCCTTCAGCCATTGCATGCCCATACATGCCAAAAGTGGCATGCCTTCAACATCCGGATGTCAATGTTCTTCGGTGGTTGAACCATGTTGAACCCACCTGCTGAACAAAGGGATGCTGGTTTCAACCTGTTTTTTCGTGCCAGGAGAATTTGCTGGAGTCGTCCGTGCCTGAGATGATGGTATGGTATGGTTGAGCTTGCATTCCAATCTTGTCATAGTGCAGTTGCTGTCGGTTGAACATGTTGCTCTGGTGTATATTTGTGCACCTTGCAGCAGGAGAGGTCAAGACATGTTGCTCAAAGCAAGCTACCCCTGTAACACTCCGGTCGCTTATTGTATAGATTGTCCTCAAATTGTCCTCCCAATGGTATGAAATCCAGCAACTCGTTGATGCTTAGTATTAGGTGTTGTACCATCATAGACACCATGAGCTGTGTTTATCATGTGCACGTGTTTAGTTTATTGACACACATATATATATATACATATTCATATACATATGTTTTTGTTTTTGTTTAACTAACATTCGACCAACGAGCCCACAGAACACAAGGCAAGGGGCAACTCCTGGCCGCCCGATGTGAGGTTCACTTCCTCCTTGTCAGCCTTGCGGCCTCCAGCTCAGGAACGTCAGACCCTGGAGGACTGCAGTGAAGTGTAGAGGTTGCGTGCTGTCTAACGAACATGATGGAGTGAGGATACAGGAAAGTAGTCACATTCTGAGTGTCATGTTCCACTTCTGTTGGTTGGGCTGGGGGAGGTTTGCATGTCCTTCAATTCTTGATTTGTTCCACACATGCTGACACATGCGGAAAACGTTCCATTAAACCTTGGGACGCTTTCAGTGGGGCCCTGTAGCCCGACACCGAGGTCCTCGCATTCTCAGAGTTTCT